GTCAGTCCCGTTGTTTTCTCCTCCAGATTGTTCATCCAGCCTGTCCTATCCAGACAGGCCTGCCCTGTTTCTCTTTTCTTGCATAATCACACAACCTCAGCAAATCTGCTACTTGCAGAAGCAGCAAACACTGTGTCCTAGTGCTCAATCCCCACTCCAGCACTCTTCTCTCTTGCATCCTGTGCTGGAGAGGTGAGAAAGCACAAATCTGAGGCTTCCTTGCAGCTTGGCCTGGGCATGAAACAAACACTGCTTCTCTTTTGCCCTCCCCCTGCTGGGTATGAGCTTTTCAATTATGGGATGGAAATCACACACCAATGGTGGCAAGAGAAACAGGGGAGAATGTTTCTGGGCCCTGTGCCAGTCCAGGACCTCCTGCTGCACTGCCAGATGTGTAAGCCACTCGCATTTAAACACTCTCTCTCTTTCCCCATTGAATTGATTCCAACTTCTAGCAACCCTAGGACAGAGTAGTAGTGTCCCTAGCGCCATGGAGTAGACAGTCTTGTCTTCTGTGAGCAGCTGGTGGCTTCAGCCTAACACATAACCACTATACCACCGGGGCTCTGCAGTAAAAAGTACTGCAGTAAAAAGTACAAAGGAATAGAAAGTCACTAGCCCACTCTAGCTCCTATGGTGTATTTCCATCTGGTTCCCTGTTACTATGCCTAGAAGCACTTGTGTTGCATTACAAACCCTTACCTCGGAGGAAATGTGGCAAAGCCAAAACTTCTCTCTTTCTCTGCCAATCCTTTACAGCTGTCACCATTCCAGGACCTCAACTCTCCTGACCACTGAACCAGTCAGTCCTGGCCTTAAGGCAGAGCACAGACAAGTGTCTACTAGCAGCCATCTTCTGTGAGAACCTTGCAGGAGCCAGGGAAGGGGTAGCTGCAGGTTTGCGCTTCTCCAAGCAGAGCATTTACACCTGGGCCTCACCTCCTACAAGTGCTGGCAGCCCAGCCATCCAAACAGCTGTAAGGTTTTTTCTCACTAGGCTCTGCGATTACATAATGGCATATTTTCCTATAGGACATCTCACTCTTGCCCAGAGCTTCTACCTACATGTGGCTGCAGTGGTGCTCCTGTTGTCACTTTATCACGAGGGCCATCCGTGGCATCAAAATCCCTAAATTATGAGACTTGCCACCTACAGTTGGCTTCTGTCTTGCTGCCTTCTTTAAAATTACCCTCAACTTAACAATATTGAAAGGCCTTCTCCCCAGAGTGGTTGAGAAGACTCTAAACAGGAGGGAAGTGCAGGGTGGCCAGGTCAATAATCAGGAGGTGTATGGGTGGGGCTCCTGACCCTCTTTCCTACACACCAGGCCAGAGAGCAGTGTCAAAAAAAACAGTGGGGAAGGGTGTTGAGATTGGACCCCACACTCCAAGGCATGTAATGAGAACCCAGGCAGTCAGGTGACTCCGCTTTAAGATTGCTTCATGAATGCCCTCCTGGCCACTGGCAACATCGCCTGTACTTTCCACAATTCTGGCGATCTGTCCACAGGGCCAGCCCTGCTGTCTGTAGCAGTGACCCTGAGAACAGGCCAGCAGCAGGGAGGGGCCTGCCAGATCAGGGTCGCATGTGCAAAAGCAGCTCAAAGGCATTGCTCTGACAGCTGATGTGAGTGAGCACTTTGAGGCAGTCAGTACCTAGGGGCTGACCACAAAGCCTGGGCCTCAGAAGTCCTGGACGGAGCCACTAGGAGGGCAGGGAAGACCGTCTCAGGAGAAGCTGCTATAGGCTAAGTTGAAGGACAGAATGTTTTGCTTAACACATCTGTGCCTTTGCTTTAAGTAGAGCATTACCAGAATGAGAAAACTGAAAATATGTGATTTAAGAACCAAAGCCCACGTTTGTCACAACACAGGTATTTTGTATTCTTGCTTTTCCATGGATCACCATGTCTGAGGAAGTCTCTTCCACCTACCTTGGACCTGCCGTGGGCTGCTTCTACCCTGATAGGGTCCCAAAGGTCCCAGCAGGGCCCACAAGTGGTTGGGATTAGCCACCAGGACTGTGCAAATCCACAGTCTGCACAGCCTGGCTTCAGCAGGTTTCTGAGCCACCTTTCATCTTCCTCCCTGGAGCTTCTTTGCAGTGGGATCTGGTTGAGATGTGGAGGGCCTGGAGTCCAGAGAAGAGGGACATCTCGGGAGCCTAGCCTCACCTGTCTGGGAGATCCTTGGTGTCTCAGTGTCCTCTGGTGCCTGCAGGTCCAGCACCCATGGCTCCTGCCCTCGCTCCAGACGGGAGATCAGCTCTGGTTTGAAGACCAAGACCCCTGCTGTAGGGTAGGCAGAGAAGGTCTTTGGTGTGGGTGGCACAATGTATGGTACAGACTCCCTGCTGGCTTCTACAGATGGGGAGTGAGGAGCAGACAGACCCTCTGAGGGGGGCAGAGGGGAAAGGATCTGAGTACAGGGTACACAAGACACTCCTGAGGCCAGGGAAAGAGAGACACTCACACTCCCAGCCCAAACCCCAACTGCAGCAGAGCCAATGTCCCCTCTGGTCCTGTCACCAAAGAGCTCACAAAGAGCACTTTGAGCTGATAAGTGGCAAGACATTGGAGGAGTTGGGCACATGACTAGTGCCTTCCTTGGCAGAACTGCAGTGTCCCCACTGCAGAAAGCTGAATAGTCTCAGGAGAGGCAGTTAAAACCAGATAATCACAAAAGCCACAAAGCAACCCCTAAAGGGCCTGAGGCCAGGTCTGTGGCTCACTGGCTCCACCTATCCCCATTTCCCACTCTGAAACACGGGTGCTGGGCACTGTGGGCTCCTGCCAGCATCCATCCCACCTGGCATCCTACCCAAGAGAACTTGGCCAAGGCCCTGGTATGAAAGCGTTCTGCTGTGCGGTGCAGGAGGGCAGGTGACAGATACCAAGGGTCTGCAGCCAATAAGCCCAAAGTTATTAGATGTGCTCTGCTCTGAAAACCCACACTCCCTTGAAGCACGCAGGAATGCTTACAGAAAGATCCTGTCTTAGATCATAAAGGGAGTCTTGGTAAGTTCCAATGGAATTGTACTACAGATTATATGCCTCACCAAAATTCAATAAAAAGTATGTACCATATATACTCGAGTATAAGCCAACCCGAATATCAGCGTAGGCACCTAATTTTACCTCAAAAACTGCATAAAAAATTACCCACTTGGGACCTAAATAACGAATAACTAAGCAGTGTATTTATAATTATGCAACATTGGTAGGAGAGACCACACCCCCAAAAGAACAACAGGTGCTGTGGTGTCTGCTGAATCATGGTGACCCCACGTGTGTCAGACTCAATTGTAATCCACAGGGTTTTCAAAGGCTAAATTTTGGGAACTAGATCTCCAGGACTTTTCCCCAAGGTACCCCTGGGTAGGTTCAATCCACTAACCTTTCTGGTTAGTAACCGAGTGATCAACCATTTGTGCCAGGCTGGGACCAAGACCCAGCTAAAGCAATACTTGAGGATGAAACTTTATTTCTTTATAAAGCCTGGAAACACAAACAATTAAAGACTCAGCTACCAACCATAAGTCTGGCTGTTCACCCTCACCTAGTAGCTCAGGGAGGACCTTGGAACCCTGTTTCCGTGAAGACACAGGACGCCTGTGGGGCAGCCGTGCTCTGTCAACTGGGCTGCTGCAGCCGCCATGAATTGCAATCAGCTCAACAGCACTTAACAACAATGGTAGCTAGAAATAAGAACTCATGTTGACAGCTCAAATTTTCTCTGACTGATTAATTAAAATGCATGAAATGTGAATAATTAAAAATGCATGATATGTGAAGTATATGCCAACAAAACTATTAAAAATGAAAAACAAATGAGCTATACATTAAACTCAGAATTTGGGAACAAGACACAGCAAAGCCACAGAAATAACCTGAAATGATAAAGATGGAGCAGGATTCAATGAAATTGAGATCCCCCCAAAAATCACAATAAAAATATTAATGAAGGATTAACTAGAAAGGGAGCTATATCATAACAGAAAAGATTAATAAGAAAGCTTTGTGCCAAAACCAATGAAGGTCAACATAGTAAACACATGCCAAAAATAAGAAGAGAAACAGCTAACTACACCAGATTAAAAATAAAAGGAAGAAATATGAACATACTACCAAAAAACTTGAAAACCTAAATGAAATTGACCCATTTCAATAAAAAACTAGAAACGACCAAAAAATTACCACAAAAGGAAATTTCAACAGTTTGAATTGCCCACTGAGCATTAAAGAAACTGAAGTGCTAGTCCAAGATCTCCTTCCTCAAAAGCCCAGGCCCAGATGGCTTTACAGGTGATATACTGCAGACATGTCCATCGATATAAACTTTGTCGCTCCAGGCCCATTGCTCCCACCATACAGCCGAGTCCTCCAGGACTCTGGGCCCACTACCCTATGGGCCCCAGTGCACAGCCTCTGGCTCCCCTCCCAAGGGGCATCCAAGGTGCAGTCTCACCAAGTCCAGCCACACTGCTGTGGTTCTCCAACATCACCTCCCTGTAGAGCGCCCTCTGGCTGGGGTCCAGACACTGCCACTCTTCCCTCGAGAAGTGCACAGCCACGTCACCAAATGTCACTGCCTCCTGAAAGCACACACACCAGTGGTGCCAGCTCACTTGGTACCACCTCACAGCCTGTCTCTGACAGGTGCATCATGAAGTTGGGCAGTGGCCACCAAGGCCCCACTGACTCTAAAACCTGAGGGGGGCGGGGACAGATCATTGGGATGCTACATACTCTCCTTGCTCAGAGCCTCAATTGGGCCTGGGTCTGGGCAGGGTTTTGTCCACTACCTTGTGGGTAGGAACAAAAGGGGCATGCCTGGATAAAGGCCAAGAGGGGCTGGGACAAGGGTCCAAGGGGCGGGATGGGTTGCCAGGGCGGGGTGGGGGTGGGGGTGGGGGTGGGGAGAGGCAAGTGAAGACATGGATCCTTTGGGCTTCCTACCATCAGGCTCTGTGGGCGTCCACAAGTCCTGGCCAAGAGTCCTGTGGGTAATTAAAAAGGGGAACAGCAGTCAGGGTATTGCAGACACCCGACTTTCAAACTGAGGGTGGTCTTCGTTCTCTACTCCTTCACAGTTGTTCACTGCTAGAAATGGAGTTGGGCCATGGAACTCAAGTGTTTGCTCCCCACCCCACCCCAAACATCCTCACAAAAGCTCCATTCACTGTTGACTTTTATGTGAAAGGGAGAGCACTTCCATGGCAGGGTGCCCAACTGAGCAAGGTGGGTACAGCAGTGAAGGAACCCACAAGGACCCTGCTCCATGGAAGACATCTATGAGCAGGGTCTAGGGCAAAAAGAAGTAAGCAACACATCACCGCAAAATGACAATTGTCACACGAGGGAACGCAGCAGGTATTTATGGTAGAAAATGGAGCCATTCTGATGGATCACTTTCACAAAGGAGACCACTTGGTGAGCAGGGGAGCAGGAACGGCATGTGCAAAGGGCCGGAGGCAGGAGGAAATGAGGGTACATGGTGCAGAGAGGCTGAGTATGAAGTAGGTAGCGAGCAGGATGATGGATTGCAGGGCAGTGTGGAAACAAATTGAAGGCAACAAAATGCAGATGGAGGCAAACCTGTTGAGTCCCAGAACTCCCTTCTCCCCTTCCCCAGTACAGAAGCAGCGGCGCATCCGAAGGCCCAGGGCTGATCTGGTGTGACTGTGCACCTTAATTGAACCAGGCCCGGCATGCCGTGGGAGATCGTAATAAGAACAGGTTTTTCTAAAGGAGCTTTTGCCTCAGAAAGTAGCTCGTGGGCACAGCAGGGCTGGCTTGGGCAACAGCGCCCACTATCAGGAGGTACCTTGCTCCCCAACAGGAGTGCGGATATCGTTCCGAGTCCTGGGTCCCTGGGGAGAGGGCAGACTCTGAGCAGTAGCCAGAACAGTCCACCCAACCCAAGGCACCGCCCTTCTGTCACTGTCACTAATTGCAAGCCTTCGAGGGGCAGTAAACGAAGGGGAAGGAGTAAGCCCTGGCCGGGAGGCCGCGTCAGGAGCGAGCCTTACTCCGGGCCCAGTGGGGCCGCGGGCTCGACCCAGGCGGTCGCTGCTCCAACACCTGCCCAGCTGGGCCGCCCGCCGACCTCCGATTTCCCTGGCGAGGTGGGGAGAGGCCGGGGCGAGGCTGAGGGAGACCAGAGCCGGGAGCTGGGTGCTCAGCCGGAAGCGCCATCGGAGGCAGAAGGAAGCAGGAGCCGGCGGTCGCTCGAGCCCAGGCCGGAAGACACCCGTACCGCTCCCACCAGGCCGCTACACACTCACCCTCCCCGAAGACTGCCCGGGGCTTGCGAGCGCAACGCCCCCGGAAACGGGCTTTGGGCGTCCGTACCCGCCCTCCCTCGCGACTTCCGGCCTCTCTAGGCAGCGCGGAGGCTTAGCCCTCTCGGTGGTTCTTTACTCTGCCGCCAAGACACGCGGAATGAGTCAGAGTGTGGGTGGGCGGGGTCAGACAAGGGGGGGGGGGGTGCGCCCAAATGGGGACCCGCAGCATCGACGGGACAGGCTCACTGCAGACAGGCAGAACCTCATTCTGGGTCTAGTACTGAGACAGTCCATGAGCTTTTCCAAATCTGGATAAACTCTTGACCACGAACCAGGACCAGGATTGTGGAGGCTCAGCTTCCGCGCGCACCCCCCCCCCACGTACCCCTACACGCAAATTCTGACTGGAATAGAGGTCTCAGGGGGCATCGGACAGTTCCAGGGCGAGCCAGGAGCTGAACACCAAACCCAAATTCTCTGTCCTCCTTGGGCAGACCTGCCCCTGTGGTGTTCTCAGCCCAAAATCTTTAGAAAGCCTTGTTGTTTTCCCATGGTTTCCAACTGAAGCCTGAAGTGTGAACCCGCTATACTGTTAGATCTCTCTGGGCATAGGTATACCGCGGTCCTTGGTTCCTCACAAGAAAGAATTCAAGCTGAAGCCAAAGGAGTTTTATGAGAGAAGTTTCAGGTTTCCACGCCCCCGGGGGCTCCTCGCGAGGGTCTGGTTATGCCTGCAAGCTGCTGGCAGAATCACGCAGTCTCCCAAAGTTCTTCCAAAGTTCTGCCTGTCGACTCCGGGCTCCTGCCTTTTCAATGATTTTGCAGGGAGGCGTGGTGGGCGACCCCACTGGCTGAATTGAATTCACCTGATCTCGGTGGGCCAATCCAGGTGCAGCGCCCTCCCATGCCTACCGGGCGGGAAACCTGAACTTCCGAGCACTTGCAGTGTGCCACTCCTTGGTTTCCGTAGCTTGGCCCTCTGGGCATGTGGACGTCCCGGCCCTACTCTAGCCTACCTAACATTCCCCCCTGAAGAGATAAGGACGCAAATCTTTGGGATACTGGGCGACGCCATCTCTAGCTACTTCCTGCTGGCAAAGGGGGCGAAGTGGGGTTTTGGATCCATTCCATCCAGGAACACAGAGACCTGGACTTTGCATAAGTTAGCAACACCCATTCCAAAGTGTGGGCTTGCTAAGGGAAAGGACTCCAGTGTATCACTCCAGGGATCAGGTGGCCATGAAGGGTGCTGCCCCAGTCTCTTACATCTGTGATACTGACCGTTTATAGGACTCCGTGTTAAGAGGCTCATCTGGGGTATGACCCAGCTGCAGTGGTTGAGTTGGCCTGCTTCCAGCTGTGTCTCAGGGCCTTAGTGATTATTCGGAGGGACAGAAGGAGAGTGGGGGCCTAGCTGCCTCCTCACCAGTAATGTCTGATTCCAAGGACTAGTGGGACCTCTCATGACCCCCACACCCTGAATGTCCAAGTTGGTCTTAAATCTGCCCACTCCTAACCCTTTCTCTGCCTTCTGGGCCTCAGACCCCACTGACCCCAGAAACTCCAAGGGCCCCCAGCCCTAGTATAGGCTGTGGCATCTCCTAAGCCCCCATTCTGTGGCACTTCTCCAGCTGCCCCCCACCCCTGGCCTCATACACCAGATCCATCCCTTGGCAGCCTTTCCTCCCTCACCATCTCCTTTTTGTGACTTCATACATTCAGGTGGGAAACGCCAGGCCCTCAGAGGGGTCTCCTGTAGGGTGATTTCCCATTTCTTCCCCAGGGTCTTAGGGAAGGGAGAGGGTGACACCCTATCCTAACCGGCCTAACGGGTATGAAGAGTGGGACTTCACCCTTAGTTAAACGTTCTCATGGGATTGTATGAACTATAAATGAACTTCTGTATTTAGCAAAATAACTTGGCTTCTTGGATTTGCTAAGATATGTTAGAACAAACTATTTTGCTTAACCTTGACTTGCAAGGACGTGGCTGCAAAGTCCAGGTGTCTTTGTTGATGGACTTGGCTATTATCCCAGAAGGATATAAGGAGCCAAGAAATGGGGTATAAAAGAAAACACAGCTTTTAATAAAGTGTCATTGCATACATTCATGCTTCAGAATGTTTCTTTGGTCCTCCTGAATCCTTCTTTTTCTATATTCTCTTTTTTCTCAAGACCACTCACCCAACTTCAGCTTTCTGTTAGGAACACTCCGGAGCCGGTCTCCGGCAGTCTCCTAACGGCACACTGGGGTGTCCATGTTACCAGAACCACCCTTTACCACCTCCTTTCTTCTGAGATTCTTACTTGTACCCATGTCTCCTGTTACAGGGGTCCCACCTCCTTTCCTGACTATGTGTTGGGACTTTCTCTTGTCTTGGGAATAGCCTCCACTTCAGTGCTTGGGTTCCCACTCCTCCAAGACTCCAGGAAACTCCTTCCTCACAGCACATCCCCTGCTGGACACCCGCACTTGCCAGACATTCCTGGTCCCTCCTTTCCAGCCCTCACAGCCCCTGACAAGTGGCCCCATCCTGGGCTTGCCCCAACATCCCTTCTTCACCCATAGTCTGCTCTGCAGGGCTCTGGTCACAGCCCCACTGCACCCTCCCCCCAGATCACTCATTCAGTCTCCCTTTCCTCACCCTCTCCCACCACCCCTGGTCCCTGTAACTTCTCCTAGGCCGCCTCCTTGACACCCTTTTCACTCTAGGTAAGTTGGGTCCCAGGATCCCCTGAGCCCCACACCCAGGCTTGCCACAGAGGTCCTTACCATCTAGTACTCAAACCACTCCCCACCAGCCCCTTGACACAGAGCATCTAAAGGTGTCCCTCAGCAGACAAAGCCGTCCCAGGCCCTACAATGGGGCTCCTCACTGGGAAAAGGATCCTGACTAAAGAGCCCTGGCGGGGACAGAAATGGGGGCTTCAAAGGACCCCGTGAAACAAGTAATGAACCAAGGACTCTGACAACTGGCTTGGAAAACACTTTAAACTTGAAGCCAGGCCCTGGTGAAATCCTGACACAGGACTGAATTGGGAGATAATTGAGACATGTTGGTCCAGAGCCGCTGCCCATTTCAAAGACCTAATGTATGCGCCCCCTTCCTCTTTTTAACTGCCATTTAAAAACCAGAAGTGTTCCCCGAGACAAACGTCCCTTCTCAGCGGGAGAGGGACCCGCTTCTCTTCTTCTGGAGCGACTCTAAGCCTAAACAAAAGTGTGGTTTAACTCTTTGCTGCTGTGTGCGTGTGTGCGAGCGCAGCCTCCGGTACCTCTGAACCCTAAATAACTACACGGGTCTGGACAACAGCTCAGGTACGGAACTTCAACGGCCTCTCACCCCAGAGGGAACTGCAGTCTTCACGTTATTGGCAAACCCTTAACATGTGGGTGCCTTTTCGGGCCCTCAACAAGGAGGCACAGTCAGGGCAAAAAAATCCCTCCGGCAAACGACGAGCAGGCACAAGCACGGACATCCCGGATTCCGAGCGCGCGGCCCCTCAATGCGCACGCGCAAACGCCACGGTGACGGAAGAAGCGCGCCGCGGGAAGGACTACATGTCCCAGTGTGCACTGCGCGAGGAGGGCCCGGCGCCTGACCCGGAAGATAAGGCAGCTTGCCACCGTGGTGGTTCCTCTTTCGGCCGTGCTTGAAAGCTGGTAAGACGTGCTTGAGGTACTGAGGAGTCGGCTCCATCCGCTGCCATCCTCCGCCCTGGGGCCAGCGGGGAATCTCCTGAACCCTTTCTGTAGGGGCAATGGGGGTAATGGCCCCGCCGGGGCCGCGAGATGGGTTGGAACTGGAGGAGAGGGTCGGGCAAGGCGGGTCGTCTGGTCACAAGCGTACTATGTTCGCCCCCCAGAACTGCCGCCATGGGCCGCGTCATCCGGGGACAGAGGAAAGGCGCTGGTTCTGTGTTCCGCGCGCATGTGAAGCATCGTAAGGGCGCCGCGCGACTGCGCGCCGTGGACTTCGCCGAGCGGCACGGCTACATCAAGGGCATAGTGAAGGTACGGGGCGCCGGGTCGTGACTCGCGGCGGGGCGGGG